TCAAGCTGAGACAAAGTCCATCCTTAGCGAGCAGCAAAAGCAAGCATAAGTTTGACAGAAATCATTTTAGCAACTGGTGAGAATGTGTCTATGTAGTCGATCCCGTCTGGTTGAGTATAGCCTTTGGCTACAAGATGAGATTTACATCGGCCAAGCGTACCATCCGCATTATATTTCAACTTATAGACCCATTAGCAACCAATGGCATGTTTCCCGGAGGTAATGAAGTAAGAGACCAAGTACCTTTGTCTTCAAGAGCAACAAACTCCTCATTCATTGACCAGTTCCAAACATCAGATTTAATGGCTTCCGCAAAAGATTTTGGTTTCATCTCAGTGGTAATGGATAAAATGTAATTTTGATAAGAAGCATTGAAACTGGTATAATCAATAATAGAGGAAAGAGGATAAAGGTTTGTAGTTTTAAGTGGGTTTGGTATTTGTTGGGTAAGAGAACAATGATACTCAGATAGGTAGCTAGGGGATTTAGTCTGACGTCTAGGTCTACCTATGTTAACCAAGTCTAAACCAGATGAAACATTGACAGTTTCCTGTGGATGAGAAGATGATGATGCATGCAAAACAGAAGAATGAGATGCATGCATATCAGTAGGATTAATAGACAAGTCAGAGATAGGTAAATGAAAAATAGTGTTAGGAAACAAATCATCAGACAAAGGTGGAAACAGAGTATAGTATCCTTGAAAGGAAAAACAGTTTCATGAAAGACTAAGTTTCTAGTAACCGAGATCACGTTTGTTTCAAGATCTAAAACCTTATACCCCTTATATCCAGATGGATAACCAAGAAAAACATATTGTTTTGCTCGTGGAGAAAACTTTGTTCGAAACTTGGGATAGGTAGAAACATAACATAAGCAACCAAACACTCGTAAAGACTTAAAATCAAAAGGTTTCTTAAGTAAATTTTCATATGAGGAAACATCACCAAGCAAAGGAGAAGGTAAAAGATTTATCAAATGAATTGCAGTTTGCACACAATCACTCCAAAAAGAAACATGTACATTAGATTGAGAGAATAAAGCTCTAGCAACGTTCAAAATTTGTTGGTGTTTTCTTTTAACTACTGAGTTCTGTTGTGGAGTATCAACACACAAAAAATAGTGAAACATGCCTATCTTAGCAACAATATCAGGAAACTTCAATTCAGAGGCATTATCAGACCTTATAGCTTTAACAGTGGAATTGTATTGTGTGTTTAACAAGTTGCAGGAAAGATGGAAAGACAATCCGAACAGAACTTGTTGTTTTTAACAAGTAAATCCAAGTAACACGAGTTGCATCATCAACTATTGTGAGAAAATAATGAAAACCTTACATAATTTCAGTAGAAAATGGACTCCAAGCATCCAAGTGTACAAGCTCAAAAGCTGAAGAACAAAGGTTATTATTTGAAACATAAGGAAGACGACGTTGTTTAGCAAGTTGACAAATAGAGGTGTCAAAATGGGTCATGGGTTGACCCAACCCAAATTGATCTATTAACTCAAATGAAATGTTTATTTTTGATCAAATGGATTAATAAATTACCATGTTAATAGGTTAACATGTTAAATATGTCTAACGGGTTGGGTCAACTCTGACCCATTTAATTTTTAATTAAAAAAAGTCTGTTGAGTTTGATCTGATCTCGAACTTCATCTCAGATTCGAGCTCGTGGCTAAGAATCATCATCGGTTTATTTTCATAATTGGTTTACTAATTACATAGCCCTAAAGAAGTTTGAAAGAAGTATATGAAAAAGCCACTAATATTCAATTGTCTCATAAATAATTGTTTAGATGTGTTCATTATAAAGATATTGGGTTGATGGATCAACCAATAACCCATCTAATGTACGTAATTAATGGGTTATGGGTCAACCCAACCCATTTAATAAATGGATGGGGTTGACCCACGACCCACTAACAATCAACCATTTGTGTTATGGGTTGGATTGACCCATTTGATCCATTTTGACACCCTTATGGACAAACAAGACAGTGAGAAGATGATTCCACTTTAGGTAAAGAAATAGACGAAGACATGCTCTGTAACTTGGCTAAAGACAGGCGTCCAAGGAGATGATGCCAAAGATCTCCATCAGCAACCAAGGATCCACATAATGAAAATGATGAAGAAGAACACAAAACAGCTTGCGTGAAAACATAGAGGTTTTGAAAAACGTTACACTTCCCAATCATCGAGCCCAAAGAAAGGTCCTGAATTATACAATAATCAGGAAAGAAATGATTGACTATAAGCAAGCATATAACTAACACTGATCAGATTAAATTTGAAAGAGGAAATATGTAAGACATGATGCAATGACAATTTAGACGAAAGTTTCACAATGCCTATATGCATGATTGGAACAGTGATGCCATTTGGAAGAGTAACTATCAAACTTTCAACTGTTTTAAACTCAGTAAAGAAAGAGAAACTAGAACAGGCATGACTCGCAGCCCCACTATCTACTATCCAAGAATCAGAGGAAATCATATTTGAAAGTCAATGGTTTTGATAAATGAGATTTTGTTTGGTAAAACGAAGGTTTGAAGAAGGGAATGAGATGGTACCTGCAGTCGCGTTACAAGCCATTATACCATGTTCAGTTATGGAAGGAGATGAATGAGAAGCTGAAGCTTCCTTGACATTGGCATGGGCATGTAGCTGAGAAATCAAACTCTGAACTTTCTCAGGATAAAACCAACTGAGATCAAGACTAGAACGAGTAGGAACTCTGCTGTATGAGATCCCAGAGGCATATTTGACTGACAAGAACATCATTAACAACATTGGCAATAGCATTTTCTTTGTTGTAGTTCTGATTAGGTTGCTTCCATTGTTGTTGGCCTGAAGAACGTTGACAGGAATTACCAGACTTAGGAGCATAAGAACCTTTAGAGCCTGATTGAAACATTTGCTAACCACATGACCCATCGGACCACAATGAGTACAAACTGGACGGGGATGAGGCTTCTAATTACTGTAAGAAGCAAAGTGATCATTCTCATTAGTAGAAGATGATCCTGAAGCTTGAAATGCCACATTCTCCACATTAGTGATTGGCTTCAGAACACGCTGACGTTCATCTTGACACACCATGTTAAACACTTCTTCAATAGAAGGAAGAGGTTTGATCATAAGAACCTGACGTTTTGTTGCTTCATATGCTTCATTAAGTCCCATCAAGAACTTCATAACCCGATTACAATCCATCATTATCTTATAATTTTTAGCAGCATCACATTCACATTTGCCACAAGTGCATACGGGAACCTCCACAAATTTCACATAGGTTTCCCAAAGAGTAACTAACTCAGTGTAGTAAGTACTGACATCATGAGCACCCTGACTTATTAGGCAAATACTTTGTTCTATCTCAAAAATCCTAGCGAGATCATCATGTTTGAATCTATTCACCAGACTATTCCAGATATCAGCCGCAGTAGACATGTAAAGCAAGCTAGCACTAATCGGTTTACTAACAGAGTTAAGTAACCAAGTCGCGACCATGTCATTGCAACGAGACCACGATCCATACGTAGGATCAGTATCAAGATGTTTCAAGATCGTACAGTTGATAAACCCCAGCTTATTACGGACGTTAAGCGCGAGACAAACAGATCGCTTCCAAGAATGAAAATATGCGCCACTGGTGAGTTTATCGGAAACAAGAACAAGTCTGGCATGATCGTTATGATAGAGCTAGAACGAAATCTCATAAAGATCAGAAGAGGATTGCGAACGAGACATCGCAAGCAAACAGAATCAAGATTGGAGAATGACGAAGACGATGAACAAGACGGTGTCAATCGATTGAACGAGAAATCGAAACAGTGAAAGGAAGAGATGACAAACGAGCTGAGAACGAGAGAGACTCATGAAGAATCGAGCGGAAGATTGCTTCGCTCTGATATTATATCACATCTATGGAGCTGAACTTGAATGAACGAGAAACGGAAAAGAGAGAAACTGTAACAAATTTTATTAATCTCACATTAACCGTAAAAATATGTATATGAGGAATTTATAAACTATACAGTAAATACACTGTAAAGCTGTACAAGGTAAATGTATATGCATATCGTAATAAAAACAGCTACAAACTCCTCTTGTGTTAGCGTATTAGCATTTTCATGCCTAACTTTGCTGTCAACAAAATATCATGTATAAATTTGCCATGACCAAATCACGAATTACACAAGCATCTAAAATTACTGAAATATTTTGGTTGGTATAAACCATTATGGTCGAATAAGATATGCCCTGTTAGTATATTTAATATAAAATAAGTGAATCTAATAGAAAAATCACTATAAAACAACCAACTAAAACTTATTTGGAGAAATACAAATAAATATTGAATAAAAAAATACAACTTAAACATGAGATTAGACGAATAATATTGAATGTTTGACTATTTAGTTTAAATATTTTTAAAGTTAATTGTTTTATGAAAAGTTCATATGAAATCATTTAAGTGAAGAGTATGTGCATATTTTAAATGATTTTGTTAAAATAGTTGATTGGATAAATAACATAATGTTTTAATGACTTCACAAATTGATCTACAAAGCAAAAGTCTAAAACGGAGTTATGAAACTTTCTCCAATTAAAATATTATTTACTTGAAAACCTAGTGAAGTTGTTTGTTTTTGTATTTGTAAACTTTTTTAATCAAACAATATATTTGATTTGCCGGTAGAAGTAACGCTCTTAAAGAATCCCGTTTAGAATATAAAAATTTCCATTTATCCTTTTCTTTTTGTAACTGGCTTTCAGTTTCCATGTATCTTACCTAATCCGTTCCTTTTGAATTTGGAAAGAGAGATATAACAAACGTTAATTAGTTTTCAGATATATCCAAAGATATGTTTCGACGCGTTTCCTTTTTTGAGTTCTTAAACCAAACATAAAGCCCTATAAATAGTGATCATCAACAACACAGAACCAGTCCAAACTAAAAGGTAAACTACAAAAAATAGATAACTTCAACATGTCTCCCTCTGCTTCCGTCGTTGTTGCACGTATGCTGTCCTCTCCAGCAGCCGTGAAACAGAACCACCTGAAACGCAAACGCGATAACGAGATCACTCAAGAGAAAGTCACATCTATGGAATTTTGTGCACAAAAAACATAACGAGCATGAACATACCAAGCCGCTTCCACCGTAAGCAACGCAGCTATCACTGTCGGTGAAGATGACGTGACGATAACATGGCAAGTCATGTACAAGGGAAAGTTCTTCACGCTAGCTGATACTACAAGATCGTTGGACACAAAGAACGGGTGGTTCACCGATGAGCTTGAGGACAAGTGTAACCGCAAGCTTGTAGGCGACGTCAAGCCGAGTTTTAACGGTGAAGTTCTTGAGAAGATTGGATTTTCGATAGTGGACTCAGATGGCTGGGGATCTCTGTTACTTGATGGGTTTCTGAGATATCTTCAGCGGTTTTTATTGGAATAGTTTCTCACAATTGTCTCGAGTAGATGGTTTAGCAAGTAAAGCAGAAGTTCTTTTCCTATGAGTTATGATGTCATTCCCTCCTATTCTATGTACTCCATAGTATTACTGAACTTCAATAAACAATAAATTTGAGTTACATTATTGGGGTTTCTTAGAGGATTTCATAGGGGTTTTTATTGTATGGGTCTCATGAACAGTATAAATCGCATAACTCAGTCATCTATTTTTTTGTACTCTTTCTCAGCTGTTAAATTATCTCTCAACTGAGAAGTGACACAAATGCTAAATAAATTGGGAGGAATTTGAAAATATAACTCAAAACTTGATTTTAAATACAAAAATGTATCTTAATTTCAATCAAATGTAAAAATAATCTAAAAAGTTACTGAAATTACTACAAGCTCTTTATGATCAAACAAAAAATAAGTATTAAGTTTTGCGATTATAACTCTGCGCGTGAGAAGACTTACCTAAAAGTCTTCTCAGAAGACTCACCTGAAACTCATCTTATACAGTAGATCTTAAAAATAATTATAAATTAAAAAAATATTTAATTAGGAAAATAATCATATCATATATTATAGACATTTATAAATGATGTAAATTTTAGATTTACTAAAATTGAATTGTTTTTTAACATAGATGAGTGAATGTAAGTTGAGTCATGATATTCTTTGGTTGAGGGTTTGGTAACTATGTTATAGTTTTGCTTGTGTGTTTTAGGGTTAGATTGTGGAATCTGTTTTTTTTTAAAACTAAATTTGACCTAAATGTGTTTAGTTTTATATATATATATTAAAGACTTTGAAAGTTGATTTTATGTTTAAGTTTTTGTTTGTGATTTAGTAAGTATTTGATTTTGGGGTTTGGAAGATTTCCCAAAATCAAATAATGTACTAGAAGACCTAATGGAAGACTTAACAATAGAGTCTACCATTTTCCAGTTATTTTTTTCTTAAAATCCGGTTTCCCGCTAAGTCTTTCAATAAGTTTTCCAGAAAGTCCTATAAAATCTTCTCAAACTCTTCTCATGTATTAGATCTTAAAAATAAAATTTATAAATTTTATAAAAGAAAATTGATAGGAAAAAAATCTTAAATCATCTAATTATAGAGATTTGGGAGTGATGTAAATTTATATTTAATAAAATTGAATTGTTTTAAACATCGATAAGTGAATGTAGATTAAGTGAAGATAATCTTTGGTTGAGAATTTGGTAACATATGTTACAGTATTGTTTATGTTTTTAGGGTTAGATTGTGGAAACTGATTTTTTTTGTTAAACAAACAAAAATACATATCCAAAATTTATAGATCTACCTTTAAAGAAGTGAAACATGAGAACCATGTAGTGAAAAACTTACAAAAATAAGATAAATTAGTGAGAAAGATATAAAAAAATGAGAAATTGATATAAAATTTGGTGTTTACAATTTCAAAGAGATTAGAGAGAGAGATTGGAGAGTTTTAGAGTGAGAAACATTATATTTTTGTTGCAGCCATTTGAGGGGAAACGAGAAATTGTGTAAAATTTTATTTATATAAGGCAACAAATTCCAAGTAGGTAAAATATGTTTGGTTCAGAAGACTTCTATGGAAGTCTACTAACATAAAAATGCATTAGAAGACTTCCCAAGAAGTCTTCCAAAGTCTGACTCACATCTGAAAAAATTTGCATATCCAAAATCGTTCAAATGACATCAAAACAGAGAAAAACTCCAAATTATTTTTTTTATGGTTAAATAATAAACTAAACAGTCACATTATATTGAATCTATAACTTTTTAGAATATAACACACAAACACACACAAATATACATATCCAACATTTACAGAACTACCTTTAAATGAGTGAAAGATGAGAACCATGTAATAAAAAACCTTTAAAACAAAAAATAAACACATAAGAAAAAAATGATCTGTTATATGCTTATATATATACATATACTTAATGAAATATATATAAGTGTTATAAATAATATATTCTATATAAGTTTTAGAATATTTGTGTTTACTAAATTTTATAAAATTAGGTATTAGTATTCAAAAAATAAATAAGTTTTTTTGTAAGAAAATTTTAATATTTTAAGATTTTTATTTATTTTTTCTTTTACGGATCGAAACCCGGTTAATTTTTCCAGGACACTATATATTTGGATGGCTACGAATCGAATTGGATAACTGATTATTCAGACAAAACATATGGGATCGTATTCCCCCAAAACCTTGGATATCCGATTCTTACCCACCATTACATGTATATATGTAAAAAATATATAAAAGTGGTTGATAAATATATAAAGATACCCTAAGTAACATTAAAAGAAAATTTTGTTCAAAATAAAACATGAATTACAATATTTTATTAAAATAAATTAAGTAAAATTAAAATAAGCCTAGACAATAATAAACTTTATTGTAAATTATCTTTCTATATATATTTTTTTGTATAATCCGCAAAACCGTGCATGTAAGTTTTTTATTGAAAGAAATGTAAAATAATATATAGTGCGAACGCATTATGTAGAATTTGGGCGAAAATTTCTGTGCACATGATACGTCAGCGTATTGGTTCTCAATTCGATGTGAGGCTACCATGTGGCAAAAGTAATGTGAACGCATTAAATGACAATGCTTCTCTTTTAATATATAAGAGATTAGTTGTTATTTAAGCTCCTGAATGAAATTTATAATTTAATTGGTTTTATTTATGAGTTTACCAATATTCATGAAAGTCTTCTACATTAATTTTTTGTAAATTTGTTAAGTAACTTTAAGATATGCTTATTTAATTTTCAAAAGTGTTAAGTAACTTCAAGAATATCAAGTAACATGGTTTAATGTGTCTTCTTCGATCACACTTTTTAACTTTCAAGAAATTTGAAATTTCAATTTTTTACTTAAAATTTTGAGTTCCCCGCTTTTAATTTTCCGCTTTAAATTTAAGTCTTCCGAGAAGACTTCTAATGAAAGTGTTCTATCTTTGAAATTATGTAATGTGTTATCTTTCATGAATTTGACTAAGTTTTCTTGATAATTCTTCTCCCTTTACTTGTAAGAAATTTGATTAATTTTTGTGTTATTGTGTTTTGCTATTGAAGTTGTATCAATAACTTCAATTATGTCAAGTTATTTTGGCAAAATAATATCGTAGAAAAAGAACATATTTAACAATTTTTTTCATTAATATCTCTTCAAATTTATAAAAAATCACAACTAGAGGAGTACACATGCAAATCACAAAACAAACCACAGACAAAACTATTATAAATCATTCCTCTACAAAGACAAGCTTGGACTCCACTTGATATGGAAGAAGACTTCCAGAAAGTTTTCTAGCACATTATATTTTATAAGACTTCTGAGAAGACTTCCCATAAGTCTTCTAAAGTCTGATTAAGATCTAGAAAACATGTATATCAAACCCAGATCTGAAAAAACCTGCATATCAAAAAACGTTCAAATAACTTAAAAACGAAGAAAATGAGTTGAAGATTAGATAGACATACTTTTATAAAACACATAACGTACATATCCGAGTGGAAGATGAGAACCACCTGATTAAAAACCTGTAACTAAAAGATAGATTAGTGAAAAAGACATGAGACAAAAAATGAAAAATTCATATAAAGTTTTGTGTTTTCAAGTCAAAGTGATTAGAGTGGGTTTGGAGAGTTTTAGTTTGGGAAAAAGGTAAGAATTTCATGCAACAGGAGGTTACCAAATGAAGAAAAATCAGAAATAAAAACTTACCATAACACTTAGATCTGTTATGAAAAGGAGATATGGAGAAGAGTCTTCTAGCGTATTTATTTTAGAAGACTTTGGGAAGTCTTCCAAAGTCCGATCCATCTAAAAAACCTTCATATCCAAATCCAGATCTTATTAATATGCATATCCAAAAATGTTCAAATGGCCTAAAACATAAAAAAAAATGAGTGGAAGATTAGATAGATCTACCTTTATAGAACAAACAAAAATACATATCTAAAAATAATAGATTTACCTTTAAATGAGTGAAAGATGAGTGAGAACAATGTGATGAAAAACCTACAAAACAAGATAAATTAGTGAGAAAGACATGAGACAAAAACAATAAATTGATATAAAGTTTGGTGTTTATAAGTTCAAAGAGATTAGAGAGAGATTGGATGGTTTTAGAATGAGGTACATTACATTTTTGTTGCAGCCATTTGAGAGGAGTAGAGAGAATGTGTAATTTTTTCTTTATATAAGGAGATAAAATTTCCAATAAGGTTAAATATTTTCGATTCAGAAGACTTTCAAGTAAGTATTCTAATAGAAGATTTCCTAGACGACTTACTTGTAAGTCACCCAAAAAACTTCAATATTTTTAGTGAAAAACTAAAATATTTTTAGCGGGAGTTAGAAGACATTCAGAGAAGTCTTTCAATCGCTACGACTTACCTGATAGTCATATAGACCCTAAGTATAACCCCTAAACTAAATTAATTAACTAAACACTTCATAAAAATAAATGAAACTTAAAAAGTGTTTACTATACACAGAAATAAACACATATAGGTACAAATTTAATTTTTCAAAAAAAACTTGAAAGAATTTCAATTATACCACTTTGGTGGTACCACTTTTCATGTTTACCATCAACAAAGGAACATTTTCAAAAATACACATTTTATTAAAGGATAAAAGACTCTTATATCCTTGTTCTTTATATATATACATAAAATAAATATTAAATAAAATATTAACCCTAAACCCTAAAACATCAATTCTAAACTCTAGGCCCTAAAAAGTAAACCCTAAACCTTAAAAATCAACCCTAAACCCTAAAATATCAATTCTAAACCTTAAACCCTAAGCTCTAAACCCTAAAAAGTAAACCCTAAACCCTAAAAAATCAACACTAAACAATAAACTATCAATCCTAAACCCAAAACCCTAAATTCTAATAGTATTTTGACTATTAAAATTTTAATGGTAAAGTTGGTTAGTGTAAAGTTGAAAAATGATATCTTGAAAGTGTTATTTCTGGCAATTTCCCAAAAAACTTTAAGCTTTGCACAGTCTAACCCTAAGAATACATACAATACTACAAGATACGTTGTCAAACCCTAAACCAAAGAATATCATGATTAACTAATTTCACTTATCTATGTTGAAAACTATTTAGTTTTATTATATCTTAATTTATATTACCTAAAAATGTTTAGAATTACATAACTTTAACTTTGCATTAGTCAAAGTGTTTTTTTTTAATTTAAAAAATATTTTGAAGATCAACTATAGTAGAAGACTTCTCTGGAAGTCGTCTAGGCGACTTACAGTATATCAGAAGATTCAGACGATTTTCCAAAGCTATATTCATGAAAATGATTTCTGTTTTTCTTTGTTTGGTCACAAGAGACTCACTGTAATTTCAAAAAGCTTTTATGTTAGTTTTGCATTTGATTCAAGTTTGAATATAGTTTTAGGTATAAAATCATGTTTTGTGTCATATTTGGAAAATTCTTCTGAAAAAAAAAACATTAAGTTACTTTTACATTTGACTCTTTGTTTTGAATCATATCTACAAAACTCGTAATAAAATATTCATTAAACTTGGAATAGTATTTAGAAACAACTGAAACTAAATCACAGTATTCTATTTTATGAACCCGTTCAGAAATCCAAGTTAGTGGTGTAGAATCCACATGATACACAGTTGAATGAGAACTCTGAATATCTCGTGTAACTTATTTGCCATAATGTTTTATGTTCTTAGAATATGTTTGTTCTGAAGTTAGAGAAAAGTTGCTTACATAGTTGAGTTTCTTTCATGTGTATACAAACAATTTCATAGTTGTAGACATTATATTCACTAGTTAAAAACAGTGTTTTCCGAGCACTGCCTTTGAGAATTGTAGAACTTGTCTTATCATTTAGACCCAAAAAAAAAAATTTGTAAAACTTGCGTATACTCTATGACTTAAATTAGAGTTTTACATTCTTCATGTAACGCTAAAAGGATGGTGAGATATTCATGATCCCTAAAATCTCATTATTTGGAGCCTAGTGAAGATGTTTTCTTTTTGTAAACTTTTTAGAAAGGATAATATATACGATTACATGAACCATGTTATGCTTGTTGCTTACGCAACTCTCTCTCTCACGGTTACATTGATTTTGTTGCCAAATAATCTTAAGAAATTCCGTTCAGAATTAAAAAATTTCCATTTATCTTATCTAATCCGTTCTTTTGAATTTGGAAAGAGAGATACAGATAACAAACTTTAATTAGTTTTCAGATATACCAAAACATATATCTCAAAACGTTTCCTTTTTGAGCTAACGTAACGCCCTATAAATAGTGATCATCAACAACACAGAATCAGTCCAAACTAAAAGGTAAACTACAAAAATCATTAACTTCAACATGTCTCCCTCTGCTTCCGTCGTTGTTGCACGTATATTGTCCTCTCCAGCCGCCGTGAAACAGAACCACCTGAAACGCAAACGCGATAACGAGATCATTCAAGAGAAAGTAACACCTATGGAACGTGTGCAGAAAGAAGATGACGAGCATGAACATAACAAGCCGCTTCCACCGTCTTGGGAGGCTCTATGCGTTCTTGGTCCTTACATGGATCCTGAGACTCTCGCCGTCGCCTCTTGCGTCTCAACCACGTGGTTACAGTGTTTCTCCTCGGACGATCTATGGAAGGCTCTCTTAACCGCAAGGTCCTCACAACGCTCTTCTCCCTATGAGATCGTACTGAAAAACACGGAAAACATATCATGCAAACACCTTGTCTCCGCCGTTGAAAGGGATGCCAAACGCCGCCGCAAAGATCAAGTGGCTGAACCCGTCAAGATATCCCTCTCTGAACTCGGCTTCATCATCCACGTGTCAACTAAATCAAAGAAAGCATCAGTTTACAAAAAGGGTGAAGATCTCGAGTTTGGTCCTAACGACAAGTTCCATATCGAAGCCCACGTAAGCAACGCAGCAATCACTGCCGGTGAAGATGACGTGGCAAGTCATGTACAAGGGAATGTTCTTCACGCTAGCTGATACTAAAAGATCGTTGGACACAAAGAATGGGTGGTTCACGGATAGACTTGAGGACAAGTGTAACCGCAAGCTTGTAGGCGACGTCAAGCCGAGTTTTAACGGTGAAGTTCTTGAGAAGATTGGATTTTCGATAGTGGACTCAGATGGCTGGGGATCTCTGTTACTTGATGGGTTTTTGAGATATCTTCAACGATTTTTCATGGATTAGTTTTCTTCTCACAATAGTCTTAAGTAGATCGGCATAGAACATACAAATCTCCATCGAATAGATTGTTTAGCAAGTAATTAGTGGCTATTTTCTGATGATGTTATTCCCTCCTTTTCTGTGTACTCCATAGTATTAATGAAATTCAATAAACATTAAATTTTAGTTTCTTTAGATCCATGATATGAAGAACCCGGAACACAAAAAAAAAAAAAAAGAATAATCTTCTTATACTAGCATTAGGCTACCAAGACACTTTGCTCGTTCTTATTCTTTCCACAGTTTTTTCTTGATCTGATTTTTTTACTTGAGTTTTTCATCACGCAGTGATAGTGTAGAAAGCTATCAGAGACATAGTCCCCTCACCACCACCAATTAGTAACGTATCTCCGTTAAAATCCTTTTTTTTGGTTGGTGCTAATCCGCAATTCCTCCCTAGTCACATGTTTAACACATTACGCAGTATGCCAAAGACCAAAGTATACCTGCAATAAACTTAAGTGATCATTGATATTTTAACTCTCTAGTTTCCGGTTTCGGAGATATGATTTCATACTTTGAAGTAAATGTCACTGAAGAACCATATATTCAATTAAAACATAAGTAATTGTATATGAAACATTATTGGGTGAATTGGCCTATAATCCATAAAGAACTTGGATATTAGCAATATGCCATGGTTTTGGGGAAAAAATAGTGAGAAGGGGAGGAGGAGAGATAAGAGAGAAAAAGGGTAGATAGTTAATTTAGGGGTTTAGTTTGTATATGAGATGCAAATACTCAAAATTATTTTGGTTCGATGAAGTATATTTCGACAACTACCTGATGGTGGCCTAGTAGTAGGCAAGTTTAACTTTGTTAAACAATTTGGATTCAAATGCACCCCACTATATTTTGTCGTGACGGATGTGAGAAGAAACAGATTAACAGATGATAAACAATGAAATAAAACACATAGATTTAACATGGTTTAATCCACGGGCAAAAAGAGTACTTTATTGATGGAGACGAATTTTTCAGAATAGAATTCGTGTTACAGAATAGTGTAGAATCCTAAAGAGATATATAAGAACCGTTTAATGAAACTTTCCATATTTCTCGGATTTGAAACAGATCGACCGATCTGTGTCAGATCAGATCGACCGATCCATGACTTCTGGATCGACTGATATATCTGTGTCAGATCGCAGATTCAAGACATATTTCAACAAATCTTAACCTTGACTTGAATCCTCCATAATCAGATGTACTAGAATGCCCTTCTTCGTGCTTAGATGTTCCAGACTCTCTCTTTGCCTTAGATGTTCCGTCGAACTCAGATGTCAGATGTCCCGTCGGACCAGATGCTCTTTAGAGCCAGATTCCCTCACTTGGGCCTGACGCCCATCAGAGCCAGATTTAACAGTTTGGGATATTAAGCAAGTCAAGACAATGCTTGAACTTGCTATGAGGAACCGGCTTAGTGAACATGTCCACATGATTTTCTCATCTCTCAGAAAATGGTATCTCACATCAATATGCTTGGTTCTCTCATGATAAACCTGATCCTTGGTTAAACAGATAGCACTCAAGCTATCACAGAACACAATAGCATGATCATGATGAAGACTAAGATCACTGACCAATCCTCTCAACCATATTGCCTTCTTAGCAGCTTCTGTCAATGCCATATACTCTGCCTTAGTAGTAGACGAAGTCACTGTCAACTGCAAAGTCGCCTTCCAGCTCAAAAAAGAACCACCCAAAGTAAATATGTAACCAGTCATAGATCTCTTACTGTCCACATCACCTGCATAATCAGAATCAGAATACCCAGTAACCAGTCTCGGATCCTTGTCTCTATAGACGAGATCCACATTAGATGTACCTTTAAGGTACCGGAAAATCCTCTTCACAGCCCTCCAGTGCTCCTTTCGTGGCTGAACCATGAACCTACTCACAACACTGACTGCATGTGCAAGATCTGGTCTTGTACAGATCATAGCATAAGGAACTCGTGACATCTAACCGATTTCCCCTTCAGAGATTTCATCACTCATGGTAGGATGAAAATTTGCAGCACATGGAGTATCAATAGGCTTAGCATTGAGCATCTCAAATCTCGTCAAGACCTTTTAAATGTAGGCCTTTTGCGACAAGAACAACTTCTTCTTCACCCTATCTCTGAAAATCTCCATCCCTAAAATCTTTCTCGCAGCACCCAAATCCTTCATCTCAAACTCAGAACTCAATAGCTCTTTAAACTTCTGAACTTTACACTTCTTCTTGGCAGATATCAGCATGTCATCTACATACAACACAAGGTAGATATACGAAACATCCTCCACCTTGCTCATGTAAATCCAACAGTCATAAGGACTCATGTCATAGTTCAAACTGACCATATAGTTGTCACACCTCTTGTACTCAAGTGATAGTGTGACCAGATCCCATGTATGATTCTTCTCATGAAACTATATCTCATCTTCCATTGCAGCAAACCCTTTTTCTCAGACTCAGAACTAAAAACAACTTCTCTGTAAATGAATGGCTCATAAGTATCCACTTCCTCTGCAACCTGCAGTGCATAACCCACATATCATTAAAGTGATATCTCTCTGGTGGCCTGACATCAACTCTCCTTGGTTTATCTCTAGCACTATTGCATTTTTCAGACCCAACACGTTGATTTCCAGAAGTAGAGAATTTTGGCAGCTCGTCTGACATCGATCGTTTGATCCCATGTATGTGGATCGTTTGATCCTGGGTCGTCGGACAGAAATTGGTCGATTTTACATCACTACGATCGCTCGATCCCGTGTTGTAGGACATGGATCGGTCGATCATTGGCCCTGGATCGGTTGATCTATGTCCATCCGACTGTACTTCTTGCAGTTCCACCTGCTTGTCAAAATTCTCATTCTCAGCTTCAGTCCCATACCTCTTCTCCAAACATGCATTATAAAACATGCACTTCGTTTCCTTCAGCAAAGTTTGGTTTATTATTTCTGCTACACCATTCTGTTGTGGTGTATTTATGACTGTAAGATGGTTAGTAGCTGTTGCATTCTTACAAAACTGATTGAACTCTGATGAACAAAATTCCAGAGCATTTTCTGAAACTATAGAACCTTCTAACAAATACAAAGTACCATGAATGAAACCTCTCAGAATCACATCTAAACCTCTGTAGACACTCAGAACTCCATCTCCACCTGAATACTTGAAATCTTTACTATCCAAAAGACTAACTGAGATCCAGTTCTTAGACATAGTTGGAACATGTCTAACTTCGGTCAATGTGCAAACTCTACCACCATGTGACCTGAGCTTTATAGAACCGATTCCTGTAACATTACAAACAAATTCATTCGCCATCTTGTTCTTGCTATCAGTCACTTCCTCATACTCTGAGAACCATTCCCTCCTTGGACACATATGATAAGATGCTCATGTGTCTAGAACCCACACATCTCTAGAATGTGTTTTTCCATGAGCAACTAGAGCAATATCGTCATCAGACTTAGCTTCATTCTCTCATACAACAACGTTCGAAATCAGCTTGCTTCTTCTTCTTCTTAGGAAAATCAAACTTCCAATGTCCTTTTTCATTGCAGTAATTGCAAATATTAGTTGGCTTAGGACCCTTTGTAAATGACCTTTTGTCTTTCCCAAAATTCTTTCCACCACCTACAAACAATCCAAAAGCTTGGTCATCTAAACCAGAACTTGATGCCTTGTGACGTAACTCCCTGCTATGAAGTGCCGACCTGAGTTCCTCCAAACTCACTGTATCCTTACTCCCTATGAATGACTGAACAAAGTTCTCATATGAGTTAGGCAGTGACACCAACAAAATCAGTGATGCATCCTTATCATCCACCTTAACCTCGATGATTATCTCATCTGCCAGACACAACAAAATCGTTGAATACGTCTTCTCTTCAGTAACCTCCATCTCAGTAGTAACAGATTCAATATTCTTCCCTAACAACGGTGCCCAAAGACCTTGTTGCTTCAGCAACGCCTTCATCTTGATTTTCCCGAGACTGAAAGTGTTCCTTTCAGTAAATTTATCGATCTTTATGTTTATCTCAGACATCTTCTCACAAGATTCAACCCGAAGCTCTGATACCAGTTTGTTGTGACGGTTGTGAGAAGAAACAGATTAGCAGATGATAAACAAAGAGAAAGACACAGAGATTTAAAGTGGTTTAATCCACGGGCAAAAAGAGTACTTTATTGATGGAGGCGAGTTTTTCAGAATACAATTTGTGTTACACAATAGGGTAGAACCCTAAAGAGATATATAAGAAAACATTTAGTGAAAATTTCCATATTTCTCGGATTTAACACAGATCAACCGATCCATGACTTCTGGGTCAACCGATCCGTGTCAGATCAGATCGACTGATCCATGACTTCTGAATCGACCGATCTGTATCAGATTGCAAATTCAAAGCATATTTCAACATATTTTATTATGTGATCAGATAAATATAAATTTAGTTATTACACTGTAAGGCACTTGTTGCTACGTGGGCACTTTTTGTCGGTGGATTGCAAAAATGGTGAGTTTATGGACCGAGTGATATCACTCAAATGTTTAACCCTAAGGAGTGAATTACTCTCTCAAATAAGAGGTTCAATTGTAGTACTTAGGGATCGAATTCACGGGGAGCTAGGGAACCTAAAAGATCTAATAGTTATATGATTAAGCTAGGCTAATAGATATTAATGCAGTAAATAAATAAAGTAAAGCATGAAACAAGATGAACAAGATAATTGATCAGCTTGGCAAGGAGTTGTTTATGGA